GAGAGAGAGAGAGAGAGAGAGAGAGAGAAAGAAAGAAAGAAAGAAAGAAAGAAAGAAAGAAAGAAAGAAAGAAAGAAAGAAAGAAAGAAAGAAAGAAAGAGTTTATCTACTCATTTAGAAAGCAGTCACTGAGTAGCAGCCACATGCTGGGTATCATGACCAGATTCAGAGCCTCCCAAGATTCAGTTCCTGACCTCAGATGAAAAGTATGGGGTTTGGAACCGCACCTCCTGAAGTAGAATCACAAACCTACCATTTACAAGCTCCATAAATTTTGGCAAGATATTTTATCTCCCCAACCCTCACTTCCTGCATCCGTAAAGCGAGGTTAATGCTGCTTATCTCTTAAGGTACATTTGAAGATTAACTGAGACATAAGCACTTAGAAAGTAAATCAGATCAAGGCAGGCTCTCACTTAAAACCCTCCGGAGGGTTGCTTGGAAATGTGGAAGAGTTCAAAGTCCTTAACGTGGTGACCTGAACTGGCCCAGGTTTATCTCCCTCTCTCCACATCTCCTGCTCTGTGTTGCCTCACTCTGTGTTTCCCAAATACTACCCTCTCCCTGTTTCTCCAGCATCCCCGGGACACTCCCACACAGGACCTGGCTACTTCCCCTGGTCATGACCCCTCCTTCTGGGGAGTCACAAGCCTGTGTTAAAGCTGTTCAGGTCTCTGTTCGGAGCCCACCTCCTCAGAGGCTGCCCTCCAGCCCATGATTGCTCTATATTTTTTACCCACTTTGTTTCTCTTCCTGGCCATGATTTCTGCCTGATATTATGTGATATGTATGTTTCTTTTCTATCTCCTCTTTTGGAATGAAAAATCCACAACAGCAGATCCTTTGTTTATTTTTATCGTTGCTGTCTCCCTGTTCCTGAAACTGTGCTTGATACTCAAATATTGGCTAAATAAATAAATGATAAATATTTCTTCACTCTGTGCTTGGTATATAGTAGGAACTCAATAAATGTCAGTTCTTTCTTCACCCTTCTCAGCAAGGAATTTAAACTTTACAGCTGAAGATAAGGCAGCATGAGATGGATTTTTTGGGATTTAGTTAAGCCACTTGGATCTTTTTACATCCCAATAACTGCATGCTGCAGAGCCCAACAGAAAGTGAATCCTCGTTTTATGTTCTAATCGATTTGTACCACATAAAGTATGTCTAGGGTGATAAGAGCAAGTGTTAGAAAAAAATAAAGAACTAGAACAACTCATGGAATTTGCTCATTAGTCTTTGTCCTCTCTAGCACTGCTTGCCTTGAAAGGAGCAGTCCGGAGAAAGCACTGCACTGACTGCAGGAGTGAACATCACAATTAACGAATTTTCCTTTAATGAACCTCACTATTGAAAGATGCATGAATGAAAACTATTTCTGCCCCTTCTTTTGAGTGAATTGCACAGAAATGTTTCTTTGCTGGACCGAATCCTTGGATTCATGAGCTGTCCTGTCACCACGGATACCTATCTCTCCTGTGCGTTGGCTCCCCAAAAGGTAGAGGAAGGATTGGAGTAAATGATTTTTAAAAGTGCAAGGTCCTGAGTTCGATCCCTGGTACCAAAACCAAACAAAACAAAAACAAAAGACGTTTAAAAGCTCTAGATAGGAATTCCATGTGATGTGCTTTCCTGTCACCTTCCTGTGATCTTCCTTTCCTATTCAGTGAATTTACCTTTTCCTCCCCTTTTCTCATTTATGTGTCAAGTCACTAAGGGCCTCAGAAAGCATTATCTAATGTTTCTGAGAATACTTGGGGCAGAAAGAATGGCAGCTTGCCATGCTAGCGTTTATTTTCAAATAGGGAGAATACATATTTTAGAGATGACAGTAAGTGGTAGTGAAAAGGAAAATTGAGTTCTGTAGTAGCAACACTTGGGCAAAGATAACTTTTGCACAGTGGGCTGCCCAAAACATGCTACTTTGCATGAGGGTTATTTTGAGCTGAAGACAACTGAAACAGCAGATAAAAGAAAAGCCCTCCATGAATTTCCCTCTGCAAAGGAGCCCCCACCCCTCATCCACATCGGGAAGAAATTACTCTTTTATCACTTAGAAATGGCACTCGCTAGAGTCTGCACAAAAAAACAAACCTGATTGAAAGAATCGTTATCTGTCATTAATTCCCCCCTCTGTTTACCTCCCTACCACTTGCCTCCCCTAGAAGCCCAAACACTTTTCCTTTGTATTGTCACTTCACAAAGCTGTTCTTTTTTAAAATGGTGTGCGGGCTCTCAGGCCTAATTACTTACTCGTATTTTCCCTTTCTTTTACATGAGACCTTTTGGTGCATATGATAATTAAAATATCAACATCAAATACTACTGGTATGCCTTTTTGCCTCTTAGCCTGTCTTTTGTCAGTTCATTTTGCCTGGAATTTATGAAATGTCAGTTTATTTTCCCAGCGAGTGAACGTAAGCAAATAGAGGGCGAACTATTTTGTGCCGCCATTACAGCTGCTTTGGTTCTTCCTGCATTCCTATATCATGCCACAGAGTTCTCACAGCAGATATCAGTTATCACTCACAATTTGTGCGTAAGGAAATGGTCTCCAAGGGGCATCCAGCCAGCCAGTCTTAGAACCAGGCTAGCAACCCTGGTAACCTCACCAGAGTCCAAACATGCTTCATCCCACACTGGTGACCCCAGGACTGCTGCATGGTGACCATGTGACCTTGATCCAGCTGCTCGATCCTTTGGCCTCAGTTTCCCCAGCTGATCTCTGTAGTGCTTCCGTCAGGGGTTTCTGATTCAGCCACAAGCTGTTGTTATTTCTCTGTGCCTGAAGTCACTAAGAGACAATGACTGAGAAAACAGCAGGAGACTTACTGGGTCCACGGGAAGCACCCTGGGCTATTTCAATGACTGGAGATGTGTTTGACTGAAGGGCAGAGTGAAGGACAGGTTGAGTTTTGGCACACTGAGATAGATGAGAAGGGAATTAAAT